AAACCCATCCCGATTTGGCTATTACATGTCTAATATAGAAGGGGTTATGGTGCCAGGGAGGTTTAAAAAAAAAGTTTAAAAGTTCCTCGAGGAAAAATGTTTAAAAATGTTTAAAAATGTTTTTGTACTTCTGATATGGAATTTATATGTATATAACTTAAATTACCTTAAATTATTTCCTCTGCAGAAAATTGTAAATTTTGCAGTAAAAAATATCAACGAATTCAATGTAAAATTAAAAAGGAAAGTAACAAAAAAATGTTGATGCAAGCGGAGGGCTCTCCGAAATACGACAAGAAAATGAAGAATGCAAAAATGTTATTAAGTCATGAATAAATGTGCTAGGTGAATAGACCTGAATTGTGCCATAAAACACCTTAATAGTTATAGAAACAGTAGAAAAGAGAAGAACCGCCAGAGTGAGTGTAGTGGGGGGGGGGGGGGGTTAAGTTAAAAATTCACTGAAGAGAGGTAATCTATAAATTTTTAAGCACAAAGTAGTAATATCAGAATCTGTTGTTTTCTCTGTTTGTGCGTATCTTATAAACGTTATACGACCAAACAGATCGGTACCCCCATCTTTTCAATTTTTTACCAAAACATTTAATAGACCTTGAACAGAGTTTTTTCTGTTTAAAGAGATTCAGTAAAGTCCTTTATACATACAGATATAATATATATATATCTTCTATTTACATAATAAAACAAGACATTCGTATATACGTTCCCTATAGCCGGCCAAACGGCTAGACCGAATGGGCTGACATTTTTTGTGGACCGTCATGGGTAGCCTGGGAGTGATAATGACTAAAAAAAATAATGATTTCGCACGGCCACGCTAGTAACTTATTTGTAAAAATTCATGATTCAATAATTTGCCCACGCACGCGATAGCTTGCTATTAATGATGCGATTAGTGTAATTAAGCATAAATCCTGCTCCTACTCTGCCCGGCTCACTGGTATTTCAATTTTCACCAAATCTGCGGAATCTGCTAATTGAAATTTCAAGGGAAAGCTCCGCGGCAATAGATCTTCAGGTGGCAGATTTTTCGCTGATTAGCCGAGGGATTTCCGGATTTCCGGTGTTACCCACAAACTTTAAGTAATGCTAGGCAATGATTGTCGTCTTCTCTTTTCACTTTATTATGAAATGTTGGAAAGGATTTTAAAATTTTGTTTGTTACAACTGTTTCTTAAATTGTTTTAGGGATGCGCTTAGAAATAATTCTTTTGTCTATCGTAGACATTTATCAAGGATTTGAGGATAAGAAAATTATAGTTATATTTCATTATGTCTTTTTTTATTTCATCTTTCCATGTGTCTCCGCAATTTTGTTTTATTTAAAATCAATTCCTCTAGAGTTTGCAACTTTTAAATGAGCATTTAAATTCAAAACACTGCAAATATCTACATTTTCTCTTACTTTAGATGCTTTAAAGAATTAAAAGTTTGACCTTTGTCATTAGGTCAAGATTTTCCTAATAAATATGGGAAACACCGAAAAGCTGAGGATCGTCGTACATTCAAAGTTATCACGCCCTGAATCAACTAATCCCTTTAGTTCTAAATGTTTTGCATATCTGAATCTAAATTGTAAATTTAAAATGTTGAAATGTTTTAAAGAAATCCAATCCAACACATTCCCTAAGTATGTCACTAGCGCGCCGATCAGAGTGTCCATGATCGTAAACTAGAGAAGGTATTTAAAGTGTCAGTGTGGGATTAAATTAGGATTTGGAGTTTATGTGAGGGGGGGGACTGGAGGGAGAGGGGGAGGG